CCCCTGTTACGCGCCTGCTTATAAGTGGGGCCCCCCACTTTGAAAAACGTTCCGCCGGCCCTGTGTATAGCCTTATCAATTTTTTGTAAAACTTCCCAGGCAGGTTTTGGGACTTATTCAAAATTGTTACCGTATTGAATTTTTTTAGGTATTTTCCAATTTTTGTTTTAGCAGAAAGTATACCTTTTAGTAACCTTGATTCCAACATACCATGTGATAATCCGGAAAATATTATAACCTAACGTAAAAATCACACAGAATAATGATGCTTGCATTAGCAATCTGAAACTTTGATTATACAAAGTAAACCTTTCGAAAATGATCTACACCACTTGAAACTGCAGATGTTGATAACAGGACGTATGTTGAGTACAAGACACAAACATTATCATACTTTCTAAAGCCAAACGCTTTACAATATATCTTTGCCCCGCACATGCGAGAACATTCGATAGGGGAATTAGCAACTACGGTGTGTAGGACCTGACCGTCAATGCCTTGCATACGCTCTAATTCCTCGAATAATACGTTACCTGCAATGTAATAGAGATTATGATTATGATGAAGATTAGTAATTATGACGACGACAATAATAATGAGAATTATGATTATGACCACAACGTTCATAACGGAGGTAATAAAGATCATGGTAAAGATAATTATAATTATCTTGATTACCAATTAATAGTATCATCATCATTTATCATTTATTTTTATTGGTTATTAGTTGCCGGTTTTTTTTGTTTTTTAGTTATTCATTTATTTATTTATTTTTGGTGGATCTGTAGCTTGGTGGTTAAGATGCTTGCTTTCCAATCTCAGGGTCCTAGGTTCTAACACTGTAATTACAGGACTTTTTCTCACGTTTAAAACTCCACTCCCTAGGCCTCATAAAGCGTTTATAAAGCATGATTCCATCCTGTATGTCACGAGTGTACTTGCTGTTGGATATGAAGGAAATTAATTTAATGAAAATGTGTTTTCGTGCCTTGTATTTTTTTGTAAATGTATGTTTTAGATTAATTTTCTTATGATGGTGATGACCATTACCATCATCATCTTAACTTAGGTTATGTTTTATTGATTATCATGTTATTATTCATATTCAAGCTTTCCGTGAGTATGCCTACCATTCAGTGGTCGATCCCTGGCAGCCTTTATTTCTGACTCATCCAATACCCGATCATACAACTGAAGCGCAGCAATTCTAGAGTACAGTGCAGCGTCATCACCACCAATCGTAATAATCGTGTTTTCGGAATTCATTTCTAAACTGGTAACATCTGTATAGCCGATACTCGCGATCTCTCCGTTCCTCCACAATTTGATATTTTTGTTCTTTCCATCGAATGTCAACGCAACGAATGTCCAAACTTCAGGTAACAGAACATGAGCCCTTGTCAATTGCTGGCCTCCGTAGAATACACTCACCTCAGATTGGTACAGATAACCGTTGGAATGTGTTTGTTCCATTCGAAGTCGCGTTTCATCGCCACCAAGTCCAACAATATTTCCCATGGAGTTTTGGTAAGGATAGATATAGAACGCGATTGTGAGAGCATCTAGATCGTGAATGGTGTACTCATCTAACGTCATCGTCAAGTCGATTGATTGCGATGGTGTATGCGCACATTCGGTACTTCTGTCGATTGAATACCACTGTGAAAGCAGGCAATCGTAGTTCAACATCCATAATCGAACAGGATGGAGATAATATCTAAATGCTCCTGAAATTAAAAATTAGATGTGTGACAGTATTACATTTACTATGGTAGACCTACACCTCCACTTTGATGATATAGCTATATAATAACATATTATTCGTTATTTAGATATG